TTTCGCCCCTCCGAAACTAATTACGATACTAAATTACAAAATGGATACCGGGCGATTCTTCCCGGAAGAGTACTTTAATGCTCCGCAAGGAGAAGCGGAAAAAAAAGTGAAAAATGTTGTTCTTCCTGGGCAATTATATGAGCAATAGGCCAGTGTTTCCCGAACTGTACTTACTGGACCCATGGGGTGCATTATTAGCTACCAGAAAACGGAAGGAGAAATTATATGGCGCAGTGATACAGAAACTTTACGCAGTATTTTATTTAGGATGGGATTCCGTGAAAAATTTTCTTTCGGGGAACGAAAATATCAAAACAATTCTTAACACTTTATTTAGCTTTTATCATTACGTGTAATTAAATTCAGTAATATTTTTCAGTTTCGTAACATTCGTATTGTGCAACATTTATTTAATTATTGGAGTCGTTCTCAGGTTAATATTTATGTAATGTTACATATAATTATACACGTAATTAAATTCGATAATGTTTTTCATTTCCATCACATTCGTATTGTACGATATTTATTTAATTATTGGAATCGTTCTCAGGTTAATATTTATGTAATGTTACATATAATTATACACATAATTAAATTCAATAATGTTTTTCATTCCCATCACATTCGTATTGTACGATATTTATTTAATTATTGGAATCGTCTGTTCCAGTAATAAATGACGAAGTATTGGTAGCCATGGCAAAAAATCAAATAATTAGCTGCTAGTTGGTACACTGTTAATTAACTTCTGATAAGCACTTGAGCATATTTTGATATGCTTTTATAGATATACTGTAGGTTTCGATTGTTAGTAATTTAGAGCAATTTTCATCACATTAACATTCTATAAGCGAATGTCGATTTGAGTGTTTTTGAACGTACAGGTACATTCGATTATTGCGCTTGTCGATCAACTTAATAATTTGCAAATGTTACTGGCTTGAAAGGACTTAATTAAAACAACGAAGCAATTAATTACGTATACAATAGATTTGTCGCTTTTATGAAAATAATAAAATCTATTTTACGGGTAGTTAGTATTTTATTTATGAAAATAAGAAAGTCTTCTTTACAGGTAATTAGTATTTAATTAATGGATGGGAACCTTCAGTCCAGTTTAACGTATCTTCAATGTTAAAAAAGCTTTGGGATTAAAATAGAATGGATAACGCAGGGGCGTAGTTTTGACCAATGCCTTGACCTTTTCTGAAAGTTTTGTAGTGGAAAGGGAAGTTTACGGAAGAAAATCAACGAACACTCTTTTTGGATTTTGAAAAACCGCAGCGAAAACTTCGCTTGCCAACAGTCAAGCTTTGACTTTCACTGAATCTCTTTCTTTTATTAAATGTCCTGTCATATTGAATGCTTTATAAAAAGTACAACAATAAATAATAAACAACTTCGTTTTAAACCACAATACGACATAATGATTTACATCATTCGTGATAAATTCTTGTTTCTTTATAGTGATATTTTCGAAAGTGTTATAAAATGTTATACGGTTTATAAGATATCGGTTAAATTTCACTATTGCCCAATTTAAACTGCTTCTTTCGAACTTCTTATATTAAGATTGACGAGGAGCATCTAACGCAGGATATTGCGCTTCATTTATAAGCCCACGCAGCTTCAACTTTATTTGATCCTGCATCATATGAGTAATGCAACAATATACGCCGTCATTTTCCATTACTTTCGAAATACTGCCGAAGGGAATTAGATACTTTTAGATAGAAATATTCATAAATATTCCTTTTTAGCCGAGACAAATTAATAAGGGGCTGGATAGGCGTTTGTCCGCGTCAGAATTTTCTCTACAATTTATTTCAACTAAATATCCGTATTTTGTTCATATTAATCGCCTTGCGTATTACTGTCGAGTGTTCAAACTATTATTTTCTTCAATTTTGAAAATAAGTACAAGATAGCTCCTGCAATCAATTCATGACAATATCCATTCTCCAAATTTAAAATACTTAAAACAACAAAACAACTTGTTTACAAAACCTATAAATACAAGATAGCAATCAATTTACACCAATATCCCTCCACCGGAATATTTAGAGCATCTAACTAACCTGCTTACAAAACAAAAACAACCAATCCCTAAGTCCATCCAAACAAGACCTCTCCAAACGATTTCCACCGTTCGCTCACGAATCCAACCCGAACGCTTCGTGCATCTCGACGGGAGAATCGTTTCGTCAGGCGAAAGTCGATTAGAAGTCACGTTGCGCGAATATCGCGCCCGGAAGCGGAAACTGGAAACGAACAATGCGCGAAACCTTCGGCGTTGCTCGTACCCGTGATGTTTTAGTAAATTTCAGGGACGCGTCCCGTATACGGTCTGCACGAATTTGGTTTTTTATTCGTACAACAGAGCGATTGCTTGTGGCCCGTAACTGACTGAATGCCTCGGCGAAACTGCCGGAGCGTGGACGGTTCAAAAGAACGCGGACACGTCGCATGGCGAGGCGCTTAAAACTCGATCCACGCTCACGTTCGCGTGCGTTCGTCCGTAACATTCTGGTAACGGAAGCCAGCCAGGCCTGGCCACGGGGGCGGATGGGCAAAAGCGTATCCGGGAGGATGGCGAAGGTTTTGCCCCGTGTTTACAGTGTTCCGTCACACCTGATCCTATAACAGACACACGAGCGTCGGGTCGGTGCGCGTCGGTGAGCGAACAAGAGGACACGTCGCTCGAATAAACCGGTGGTCTGTAACATTTTTTTAGCCCTGAGCACAGTTTAAAAGAGATGCGTGGCGATTAGAATTATTTATGGGGAAGGTTATTAAGGGTTTTCAAGGTTTGCCATTATTTTGGCACGATTAAGCAATTATTTGTTGGGTGTGTATTTTTAAAGCGGTTTCTAACGATGGCTATGGAATTTTGTTCTTTCGTAAAACATGAAGTATGATTGCAGTGACAGTTGAATTTTGTTAACGTTGGGGTCTGGTTGAATCAATTTAAAAAATTGATTTTTGAGGAATTGTATTTTCTGCACTTTTAGAATATTTAAAATTGTTCTGAAAAGGATTTTTGATTTGGTTTAAGAATGATTTTTTGGTACCGTAGATAGCCCTTGACCTGGCGATCACTATGGTGGCCATTTTGAACCTTAACCCTTAAATGGACCATTTTTGTTTCACGTTTTAAAAAAATATATTTGTGTAATGGACATGTATTACTGTCTAGGAAAAATAAGTAAAAAAATCTAGACATGAATTTACTATACTTTTCAAAATTCGTTCAGAAATAAGAACTAGTTGTCAAAATTACACAAAAATAAAAGAAGGTCAATTTTATCTGTGATGTTTAGTATGTTGTTTAAAAACAACATTGTCCATTTAAGGGTTAACTCCCCCCGTTACTATACATACTGTCTGAGTAGGTTTGATGCAGTTTTAAAAGTGGTTTTTTGCACCGATCTCGGTGAATACATTATTTCCAACTTCCATTTTTACGGTGGTGGAACGTCATAACACCAGGCCCGGAATCTACTGTCTGAGTAGGTTTGGTGTAGATTTTTGTGGGGTCGGGAATATCGAATACCATTAATGTACATACTGTCTGAGTAGGTTTGGTGTAGATTTTGGTGAGGGTGGCAATATCAAATACTTTGAATGTACATACTGTCTTCACGCAAATACTGTCTGAGTAGGTTTGGGGTAGTTTTTAATGGCGATGCATACGATCAATGCATATCTACGACTGTTTCACATATTATCACACATTATAATAGTATAAGATTTTGATTTTTGACACAATCTTCCTCATATGTTCCTCAATCTCTAACCCCGGGTCCACACTGCGCGAACACTGGTTCGCATACATCGTTCGTGAACATGGTAGCTAACCCTGTTATTGTACCTCAATAGTTTATGATTTATAAGCAATTGTTTATACGCGTAAGGGGAGAGTTCGTCACTCATAAATTCTGCGTATTTCTGAAAAACTCATTTTGAAGTGGAAACGTAAGGAAATGAGACCGCATTGTTTTCAAAATGAAAGTTACAGGCACAGAGGAGGTACAGATTTAAAAAATTTTGAAAATTAATTTACTCCTTTCTTAGGCGTACAACAATTGCCTGTAAAATTTAATCTAGTGAAGTATAAACAAAGCGAAAAAACGGATTACAAAAATCTCAATGTCGGGTACTGGGTGATTTTTTTTTTATTTTTTTTATTTATTAATCGATGAAGGTACAAACGAAACTACTGACGGTTCAATCAAGTACAAACGAAATGCTATTATTTTCCATAAACAAATGAATTTTTGAAAAGTCGGGTATCAGGTTCACATAGCTAACTGTTTTAAGACGTGAAGCTGACAAAGGACGTAAAATGGTATTTTTTAAAATATTAAGAGGCAAGCATACTGTCTGAAAAACAAGGTCACATATATATATATATATATATTACACATACTATTCTTCAAGAATTGTTTGTTGACCTTGTTTTTCAGACAGTATGCTTGCCTCTTAATATTTTAAAAAATAAATTTTAAAAAATATATATATATATATTACACATACTATTCTTCAAGAATTGTTCGTTGACCTTGTTTTTCAGACAGTATGCTTACCTCTTAATATTTTAAAAAATACCATATATATATATAGGCGATAACAAAATCTATTACTTATCATAAGCGAAACTCAAAATTGTCTGAATTGCGTCGTGTTTGATATCATTTTTATCAGAAAAATCTCGCCAATGTATTGCATATATTTTCATCAAGATACAACAAAAAAAGCATAAAAACTTGAATGAACATTAAGGAACTAATATTAACTACGGTCACGCACATTATCCCTTTGGAGTACCTGCCGGCGGGTGGTCGTAAACGGTCGTTTGCTTCCGAGCATTTCCAACCATGGAGGGGATGCGGATCACCCGAATCCACAAAATAACATCAGTTTCACAGGAGTACGAACATCGTAGATGTTCGCCGGCATGTTAGCGACAGTAAGAACACCCTTGCGAATGGTTTTAGGCTATGTTCTTGTTCGTGTTCGCCGTGATGTGGACCGGGGGTAAAGATTCATGTAAGCTCATGTGTCATTACTGTAAATTACTGTCTGCACAATCTGTAACGAAATAGCTCCGAGTATAAAGGGTCAGGTCTGGATTAGTTTTAATTACCACGTTTGTATTTTTATCTTCGGTAACATCTCAGAAGTTTAGCGTTCGATGACAATACAATCGACAGTCTACATCCACCACAAGCGTATTTACCCACCCCCAGTGGCCACGTGAAAAGTCCTCCAAACAGTGATCAATCACCAAACGTTCACCGTCCAATTCAGGCGAGTTTACATTACTGCGGTTAAGAACCGCTCGGAGGGTACTCCAAAAGGATAAATAGGCGTCGCATTTCCGACACAAGGGGCGACTTAAACTTCCCCTAACCGCGTCACCGCGCGAGATAGCGAAAAGGTTGCCTCGTGATCCCGATTAAGGGTAGAGAGACAGAGAGAGAAAAAGAAAGACACAGCCAGGTTGTCGTACGCTACCCCCGTACAACCCTTAACTAGCCGCGATGCATACTTCTTCATCCCCTTCCTCCCTCCTGTTTATAACCGCCTCGGAGTCCGGTAAACGATACCGGGGTTGGTTGTTAACGTAAGCAGCTCACGTCTGACGCGTCACGTTCTGCCATTTGCAGAGGCCAGGGCAGAGATAGCCGGTCCCTCGGAGAAGTTCGTGAGGCCGGGTAGCACCCTGCAGCTCCACTGTCTCGTGAAAAAGTCTACCGAGACGCCCTCCTACCTGTTCTGGTACCACAACTTCCGGATGATCAACTACGACGTCGATCAGGGCGTCAACGTCAGCACCGACCTCACAGGGAGGGAGAGCTGGCTGGAGGTGCCCCGCGCCTCCGATCGCCACTCCGGGAATTACACCTGCGAGGCGAGCAACGCTCAACCCGCCCGCGTGTTGGTCCACGTGTTCAAGGGGGATAATCCAGCCGCCATGCAGCACAGCATCGCGTCCTCGCCGTCTGTCATGGCGTGTAGCGCTCTGCTGACGATGTTCACCACCCTGAAGCTCGTCCTCCACTCCACCACCACCAACTGACCGTCGTGCGTCGGCACGCGTCCCACCACGAAGATCTAGGAGCCGCGATGCGATTCGCGATGCGTTTCGCGGGCGGAATTACAACGTGAGTGATGTGGCATGCTTTTACGAAGTTTCCAGATTTTACGAAGTTTCCTGGTGCACCATCGGACGCCGGGGATCTGCGGTGAGGACTCGGGGGTCGTGGATAGGCCCTGATGCGGCTAGGTGAACCCCGAGGGTTGCCGAGAGACCTTATCGCGGACACGTGTTACAGTGTGGCACGGGATGGCGATGGTTTCGGGATGAGCTCTCACTGGGAGCATAGGAACATTTCTGTGACGAGTTCCGGGCGATTATATCTTTGTAAATAGCGATGCCGTATCGTTAAGGCCACGGATGCTCAAGCGGACGACCCCGTTGCGTCGCGTGACACGGACTTGAATGACTATATTATATTATTAGGAAATGAGGTTCGAGACATTCAGAAGTAAATTGGTAATTATTTCCCACTCTTCGAAGATGAAATTAGGTTGAGATATATGTTTAAAGGTTGAATTATATTTAGATATTAAAAATTATGATTTTTTAGGGTAAAAAGGGGGCCATGATTCGCCGACACCAATATTTAAAGAATTCTGAAATAGATTGGTAATCGTATCCTATTCTGCTATATTAAAGATTGCCATTTTCAAGGGTATAAGAGAACCGTAGTTATCAGAAAACAACATTTGAAGAATTCAAAAATAAACAGGTAACCATGTCCCACTCTCCAATATTAAAGATTGTCATTTTTTAAGGTGTGAATGTAACCGTCATTTTATCAGAAAACAATATTTGAAAAATTCAGAAATAAATTGGTAGTCATGTCCCACTCTCCGATATTAAAGATTATGATTTTCGTGAGTATAAAGAACGTTTAATATTGCGATAAAGAGCGCAAAATTATTGGAACACCCTGTTTGGGTCGATGATTACAAAAATCATAAATTTATTTAGAATCTATAACTACATTTACTTGATTTAATATTGCGTTTCATAAGGCACACATAAATTCTACAAAATGCCATATTGATAGAAAGTAATAATCAAATTTTTATTTCGTATTGCGACTCGTAAAAAATATTTAAAAAAATAGTAGGTGAAATTCCCCGAGTGCAAATTGTCAAATAATTTGATAAAATCCAAATTTAAGTAAATCATCCCTTCAATTGTTTTCGAACCCCATCGATGAATTCGAATATTCAATGACCACAAAGTATTATTTTACTTGCGTCCCAGCTCGAAAATATCGCGAATACAGGTATCGAAATTAATCGCTGGCGGTTTGGTTCGATATCGGTTACGTTGAAGTCCGTGTCGGTGATTTCCATGGTAGCGAAAGATCGCATCTTTATTCGTGGCGTTTTTGGCGGATGACAAATTGGACCGTTCGGTATCCCTACGTTGCTCAAGCTGGCATTTCACGCGACGCCGCTGTTATTAACTGTTGTGATATGTGTGACTGTAAGCTATGTGTAACTCTCGCGATAATAGAACTGTAATTGTGTAATCTGTCTGCGACGAGTGGCACGATTAATGGCGACAATCCTGTCGCGATTGGACGCGTTTTGCCAACCCAAAAACTTTCGTCGATGTTCCGCCTCGTAACGACAACTTCATTCGAGCGCGGTGTTAACGCCGCGTTGGATATTTGTTACGTTAATAGCCGCGACGAGGGACACGCGACCATTTCGCGTCGCTCCGGCGACTAACGGCCGCGATTAGGGTGGACCTTAGTTACACTTGCTGGAACGTTTCCTTTTTTTTTTTATTTCGGAAACTTTGTTCACGCTATCAACCGTCTGGA